TGTGATAAGAACCCCCTCGCTTGTTCTTTGGAGTAATTCATGAGCTGTTCTTAATCATCTTAAGTTCTGATGAAAAACAACCACCCTTTTCCTTTGAAGCAGATAAGTCTCATCACCTGCGACACTTTTCACGCGTGGCAGCAGCGGCCCGGCCACCCCGGCTCCCACGGCTTTCCGTGGGGGACCCGTCCCTCCAACCCCAGCCTCCCTGGCGGCTTTCACAGGCCCCGTGTCCGCGCCGATCCGAGCAGAGTCGCGTGGTTAATGTGGCTTCTTGCGTAGAACAGCCCTGGCCTGACACTGAACTTCGCTTCCTCTCTGACTCATTACCCAGCTCGCCTTCCCACCCCTCCTTCCCCCGCCCGGGGCCTGCCCGCGTGTGCTCCCCGTGGCCGAGGGGGTGCTCTGGGCCCACGGAGCTGCCTGGTGGCCGTGCCGGCCTGGGGTCCAGAGGCGGCTGGGAGGCCAGAGCGGGTTCCAGGGAAGCTCCGTGCTCACGAGGCAGGTCCGTGAGGTCGGGGCCTGGTGAGCTGCCGCCATCCCTCCGGCTGTCATGTCGGCGGTCAGGTCTCACCCGGGCAGACTCATTCTGACACGCTCCGGTGGCTTCAGCGTGGCCGCTGGGCGAGCGGCATCGCACGTGAGAAAGACAGGACTGCAGCGTGTCCTGGTCCGGCCTGTCCCTTTGGCCTTCCACACCCGTCGAGCACACGTGTGCGTGAGATGTGACGGTCAGGGGGCGATGGCCATTGAGGAACCAAGTACATAGTTCCCCGAAGATGGCTCTCTAACCTCACGGAGGCCTTTCAGTGATTAGAGCTCCCACAAGGCTCAGACAGGCTGGTCACGGAAGAACTCCTCTTGGACATCAGGAGGCAGCTGCGCCAATCTCAGGTTAAAGGGCCAATCACCAGGGGACTGCGGGCTCGTGGCTGGCTATGGCCACGTTGCTCAGACTGTAGTCAGCTGTGTTGTCGATGCCTTGGGAGAGCCAAGACAGGGGCGTCAAGCTCGCGCTCTCTCTCTCTCTCTCCTCTCTCTCTCTCTCTCTCTCTCTCTCTCTCTCTCTCTCTCTCTCTCTGTGTGTGTGTTGTGTGTTGATTGATCTGGACTAGAGGTGACAGCACAGGGACATGGCGTTTGATAGTCCACCATCAAGAAGTCCCCTTTGCCGAAACCGGTTTGGCTCAGTGGATAGTGTCGGCCTACAGACTGAAAGGTCCCAGGTTGGATTCCGGTCAAGGACATGTACCTTGGTTGCAGGCACATCCCTAGTGGGGGGTGTGCAAGAGGCAGCTGATCGATGTTTCTAACTCTCTATCCTTCTCTCTTCTACTCTGTAAAAAAAAAAAATCAATAAAATATATTTAAAAAAAAAAGAAAGAAAAAAAAAAGAAGAAGAAGGAGAAGTCCTCTTGACTATGAACTCAGGACAGAAACTGTTCCCACGCACGCTGCGGGCCCGGCTTGCTAGGGGCCGCCATGTGTCACTGTCAGCTGCTGGAAGTGGCGCAGCGAAGGGCGGTGTGTGCAGTAAGAAGGCACGGCCTCCAGGGAGAGCAGCGGAACCCAGGAGAGGTTCCCGGCGGTTGTATAGGCAGATGTGCCGTCCGGCCGCAGGTGCCCGACCAGGATCTAAAATACACTGCCGTGTGCCGATGGCCCTGGCCGTGCGTCTGCCTCCTTCCCGGGACACCTCTGGAAGTTAGCAGGCATTAAAGTGAGCCCTCAGAGGCTTCTCGAACCCCGTGCGCTGGTGCCTCCATAGCATATGCCGTGGGCTTCGGATCGGTTTTGAATGGTTGTCTCTGATTCTGCTCACCACAATGGTGGGATGTGCAAGTAAACAGACATTTAGGAAACAGCTGAAGGAGAAACATTGTATGGTCATTGAAAACCACACTTTCAAATGACATTTGGGAAGATTCTCATGATGTTATGTGATGTGAAAAAAAGCAAGAGATGCCAATACCGGTTTGGCTCAGTGGCTAGAGCGTCGGCCTGCAGACTGAAAGGCCCCAGGTTCGATTCCAGTCAAGGGCATGTGCCTTGGTTGCGGGCACATCCCCAGTGGGGAGTGTGCAAGAGGCAGCTGATTGAAGATTCTCTCATCGATGTTTCTGACTCTCTATCCCTCTCTCTTCCTCTCTGTAAAAAAATCAATAAAATATATATATATAAAAACAGAAAAAAGAAAAGAAAAGAAAAGCAAGAGGCTCTATCTGGACCCTATAAGGGTCCAAATAAATTCCTTTCGAACAGATGACCACATCCCAGCTGAATGGGATAAAAAGCTCAGATGTTGGTGCAAAAAAGTTGAGTCTTTGGCTCTTGAAGTGAAATGTTGTGGACTCCTGGCCACGAAGTCTGGGCGTTGTCCAAGCTCTGACCCCTTTGGGGGCTCAGAGCCCTCCTCGGGACGCGGAGGGGACAGTCTGTTCTGGAATGGTCCATGCGCCCCTGTGGGTTCCGCGTGCTCTGAGTTGCCCTCTGAGCCTGTGGACAAAGCACAGACCTTGAGACGGACACCTCAGGGCAGATCTCCTCGGTCTGCGTCACCGTGCCAGCCAGACCCGATCGCCCTTGACCTCCTCTTGCTTCCTGTGACTGTCTTGAGTTTCTCCCTCCGGAGCCACTCCTTGCCGCTGCCTGGTAAAGAGGCCTCCTGATTTATTAATCCATTAATCAGTGCACGCTGAGGGGCTGTTCAGGGCAGTTAAACAAGGAAAACAAGATGCTGGGGATTGTAATCAAGACGGATCGTAATTAAGAACGTCCCTCCCGCCGACCGCTGAGCTTCCGGCCGCCCCGGGTGACCCACGCCGCCGCCCTCACCCTCCCCTCACCCTGCCCCGGGCGGCCCCGATGGGGTTCCCGCCCCACAGGAGCTGACGGCGGATTTCGGAGAGGCAGGTTTCCTTCCGGCGTCCTCATCCACCATTGGCGACAATTGTTGAATCTCCAAAGTGTAGCCAGGCCCCAGAGATGGCCTGGGGGCTCTGTCCAGGTGGATGGATGGACACCGTGCTCTTCTGTCCCGGTTTCCCTGCACGTGGAGGTGGAAGGGCCTGACTAGGATGTGTATGGCCGCGGACAGGTCCCGTGAGGCCAAGGAAGTGGTCCGGGGTCACACAGCTCATTCGTAGCAAACCCGGAGCTTACCCCCACGTGTGTCGATACCCAGTCAACACACCTACTGCTCAGTGCTCCATGCAGTCCTGCCTTCCTGGAAAAATTAAAGCGAAGGCCAGGAAAGAAAGCATCCTCAGAGATGTCCTGACTTCTCATGGGTAAAGGCTTCCGAGCTAAAGAGTATTTCACAGTTTTATTTATTTTTATTTTATTATTTTTAAAAAATAGATTTTATTGATTTTTTACAGAGAGGAAGAGAGAGGGACAGAGAGTTAGAAGCATCGATGAGAGAGAATCATTGATCAGTTGCCTCCTGCACACCCCCCACTGGGGATGTGCCTGCAACCAAGGTACATGCCCTTGGCCGGAATCGAACCTGGGACCTTTTCAGTCTGTAGGCCAACTATCCACTGAGCCAAACAGGTTTCGACGAGTGTTTACCAGTTTCAGATGAACTTTGTGGGGAAGTAACTTGGGCTGATTGTCCAGGAGTTACTTGATTGTAATCAGGGCAGTTTTCTTGTGATGGATCAGGATATCAGGAGCCGGAATCAGGCATGGGCAAGGGCAAAGGTCAACAGAGTGATCTGCAAGGGGCGATTGGGCCGCTGGGGCTGGCCAGGCCTCGGGGCCAGAGGCGGTGAGTTTGGTTTCTTCCCAGTGGCACGTGGCACCCCGTGCTCATGAGGCCGAGGTGTTCCTAGAACAGAATCTCTGCTCGGGGCCACAGGCAGCACCACCATTCGTTACCAGCTTCCCATGGTTCACAGGGACCGGGGTCTCGGGGCACTTGTCCAGAACGAGTGTGCTCAGCCCGCCATGCTGGGACAAACGTGTGCGCCTACTAACGGCACGGTGGCCACAGCCCTTCAGCCACAAGGAGGAGAACCTGGAATGTGTTGACTGGGCTGGTGAGGAGGGTGCTTGGAAATCTTTAGTTTTTAACCATCTCTTAAGTCTCCACTATAAAACCCTGTGCTTGTTGCCAAAACCGGTGTGGCTCAGTGGATAGAGCATCTGGCCTGCGGACTGAAAGGTTCGATTCCAGTCAAGGGCATGTACCTTGGTTGCGGGCACATCCCCAGTGGGGGGTGTGCAGGAGGCAGCTGGTTGATGATTCTCTCTCATTGACATTTCTAACTCTATTATCCCTCTCCCTTCTACTCTATAAAAAATAAATAAAATATATTTAAAAAAATAAAGTAAAACCCTGTGCTTGTGAAAGGCGCTGTCACCTGGAGGCTCTTCTGCCTCCTTCCTGTGCCCATGTCTGTGCCCATGTCTGTGGGATGCCAATCCCACACGTTGAGTAACTTTAGGACCTAGTGCAGTTGTCGGCAAACTGCGGCTCATGAGCCACATGCAGCTCTTTGGCCCTTTGAGTGTGGCTCTTCCACAAAATACCACGGCCTGGGCGAGTCTATGTTGAAGAAATGGCGTTAGAAGAAGTTTAAGTTTAAAAAATTTGGCTCTCTCTTGCCGAAACCAATTTGGCTCAGTGGATAGAGCGTCGGCCTGCGGACTGAAGGGTCCTGGGTTTGATTCTGGTCAAGGGCATGTGCCTTGGTTGCAGGCACATCCCCAGTGGGGGGTGTGCAGGAGGCAGCTGACCGATGTTTCTCTCTCATCAATGTTTCTAACTCTCTATCCTTCTCCCTTCCTCTCTATAAAAAAAAAAAAAAAAAAAAAAAATCAATGAAATATATTAAAAAAATAAAAAATTTGGCTCTCAAAAGATATTTCGGTCGTTGTACTGTTGATATCTGGCTCTGTGGACTAAAGAGTTTGCCGACCACTGGCCTCGGGGATGCCCACCGGCCTCTGCAGCATGCTCACCAGGCTCTCCTTTGCTCTGCTTGTGCCCACAGGACCCTGCCTTCCCCGCCGTCATCCACGACAAGCTGCAGGTCCCCAACGCCACCCGGAAGGCCTGGAATGATAGGGACAACCGCTGCGACATCTGCGCCACGCACCTGAACCAGCTGAAGCAGGAGGCCGTCCAGAGGGTGCTGGCCTTGGAGCAGGCCGCCGCGGGCAGCGAGCACTACGACGGCTCCCCCGGCTCGCCGCCGCCGCCCCTGCCCGGCATGCCCGCGCTGGTGGGGTCCCGGCACGCGGGCGGGCTGCCGCCGCCCCGGGACTGGGCCTTCGTGCCCGCCTCCTACGCCTCCTCCGCCTACACGGCCTTCGTCAGCAACAAGCACAACGGCAAGCCCAGCAGCCTCGGCGTCGGCAGTGGGGCCGCCGAGAGGAAGAGCGTGTCCCCCACGCACCCGGGCAAGGTCGGCCTCCAGATGGCCACCAGCCCCAGCAACGGGAACATCCTGGGCTCTGTGGCCATCCAGGCCCACCAGTACCTGGACGGCACCTGGTCCCTGTCCAGGACCAACGGGGTCACCCTGTACCCCTACCAGGTGAGTCCCTGTGTGTGTGTGTGGGGGGGCTATTTCTCTGTTTTCCTCGACCCCCATGGAAAACAACAGGTTCTTGAGTGGAGGAGCTGGGAATTAAGAAATTAAAGAAAAAAAAGAGAAAAAAGACACAGAAATAGATGCAAAAGCTGGGACCCGGGTGGGAGGCTGCCACTCTGATGGAGAGACAGTCAACCACCCACCACAGACAGCACAGCAGTGCATTTGTTGATTTCCAGAGGGGGGGGGGGTTAAGGTCAAAGGAGTTTTGGGTGTGCCCAGGTCCTATCCATTCCCTCATGCAGGGATTTAGCATATCCAGACCTGGGTAAGTCAAGGTCCTATTTGTTCCTCATTCCCAGCACCTGGATAAAGATAAGAAATCAGTACTGAGCACAGTCTCCCACATCTTGGGGAAACGTGTTCCCAGGGCATGGCTCTGCTTACACCTCGAGTTCAGCTGGTGATAATGAAAGGTCACCCATGGGCCTTCCCAGGGGGCCCTCTAAATTAGCCTCTGAGCTAGGAGGAGCAGGGCTGGTTAGAGTCCAAGCAGAGACCTGGGCTGGTGACACTGCCTTTCTCTGCTCTTGTCCCTCTGGAAACGCCCCGGCTCAGAGCCCGATGCGTCACGTGGCCCCAGGGGACGTGGCTACACACAGATAAAACATGTGGGGAACCGTGGACCCATGTTAACACTGCTTCTGTGGTCTTCCGTGTCTGCAGGAGGTGTAGACGCCCCTCCCAACCTCTCTCTCTTGAGGGACCAGAACCCTTTGCTGTTTGCACCCATCCTCGGTGCTGTGGCCGTGAGGTTGCACGTGTGTTTCCGTTCTGGCCATTATCTTTTTCCAGTTGTTTAATTGAGCACATGCTCTGGAGGTTTCCTATGGCCGTGGTTGGCAAACTGCGGCTTGCGAGCCGCAGGCGGCTCTTTGGCCCCTTGAGGGTGGCTCTTCCACAAAATACCACGGCCTGGGCGAGCCTATGTTGAAGAAGTGGCATTAGAAGAAGTTTAAGTTTAAAAAATGTGGCTCTCCAAAGAAATGTCAATCATTGTACTGTTGATATTTGGCTCTGCGGACTGTTGAGTTTGCCGACCACTGTCCTATGGGAATAAGAGAGCAGGTCTTAAATCTGCCAAGGAATCGCAACAAATTCTCTTAATTTTTCTTGGCTGAGTTTTCTGAGGAACAGGGTTGGGTTTACCGTATATGTTTCCTCCTGTCCCCTGCGTAAGTGTTGGCCGTCACTATGGAGTGGAGAGGTGCCCAGGGTCATGAAGTGTATCAGTCAGGGAAGATAAGTGGCGTAACAAATGAGCTCAGGGTAGTGTTTGTCATATCTCTGTTGTATTGGTGTTTTGTTTGGGGCGGGGTGGCCTTCCACTGAGATGTCGGGACTCAGGCTCCCCTCCCTAACATGCAGGGGCCTCAGAGCCTCCTGCCACATCTTGCACAACCAGCAGGACCTGGGTAGAAGGATGTGCACCAGGCGATTTACATGGAGCAGCAAAACCCTACACTCCGCGACTCGATGCCTGGCCATATAAATCAGGGCCTATTCCTACAATGGAGCGTGCTTGTAGAATGGAATGTGACGCTACCGTTAGACCTCACACTTGAGCAGAATAGATGATGGCATGGGAAATGCACCCAGGATGTGAAGCAGGAAGCACGGAGGAGGGGGAGGGAGGGTCTCCGAGGGAGGCTGGCAGCCCAGCCTGGAAGGATGTCCTTAACGTCCATCTACATCCCAGTGGCAGGAGGCCAGGCTCCCGGCCCCGCCTTCCCGCCGGGGAGCCAGGGAGGGTCCACCCGTCCACGTGCCCAAGAGAAGCAAGCATCATGCTGAGTGGGCACAGAGCATCGTTTCTGTCCCCGGGGCACAGGGACAGGGAGACATAAATGAGTTTACCGCGGCCGATGGACTTCCTGGTAAGTCTCTTGAGTGTGAAAGGGAATATAGATTGCTTCTCGTGATTCCTTGAAAAAAAAAAGGAGCATAAATTATCTTTTTTTAAAATATTTTTTATTGATTTATCACAGAGAGGAAAGAGAGGGATAGAAAGCTAGAAACATCGATGAGAGAGAAACATCGACCAGCTGCCTCCTGCACACCCCCCACCGGAAATGTGCCCGCAACCAAGGTACATGCCCTTGACCGGAATTGAACCTGGGACCCTTCAGTCCGCAGGCCGACGCTCTATCCACTGAGCCAAACCGGTTTCAGCTAGATTATTATTTCGAAAAGGACACATTTTTAGACGGCCAGACACTGATTCATTGTAAGCTTTGTAGCTTATAAAATACAGCGCCCAGGATGTATTAAACCCTGGAACAGGCCTACAGGGGGGCGGGGGCAGGGCGGATGCCAGCTTTTCCTTTGAGTTTGAAGTTGATTGGCCTGTGGCCACCAGTTAGTGACAGAAGCAAGACCAGCTCTCTCCTGCCCAGAGGAAGGGGTTCCCCTACATGGCTGCTCCCGGCGTCCCCAGAGCTGCCTGCTGCCCACAGCGTTTCCGGGGTGGCTCCTTCACAGACACGCCCCCCAAACAAAAGGACTCCTATTTTGACCTGTAGAGGCCCGGCTGCCACGTCACTCTCGGGCAGAGCTTTCTGGGCTGTGGGGATAAGTATAGTGAGGGGCCAGTGGCACCCTGGGTGACTTCAAGGTCGAGAGCTTGAACTTGACCATCGAGGGCAGGGAGCAGAAGAGCAAATAACATACCTCTTCCATTTGCAATTTCAAAACAGGGCTATTTTGAAAACTACAGTAAGTAAGCCATGTCTAAGGCAAAATAAAATAATATATGCAAAAGTTCAAATAAGACTTTAAAAAATCAACTTCCCTCAGAAATAGATGGTGTGATATTTGGGTGTTTCTGCCAGGTGCCCTGTACACCCGCCATGGGTAAAATGGTGACCATGTCCCACTCTGCGACCTGCTTTTTGCTGGATACACCGCTGTTCTCTGTTTTGCTAAAATGTGATCTAAGGTAGCATAACATCCCGCTATGTAAACCCTATCCATTCTGTGGCTGCAGCCTAATTTATACGACCGGGCGTCACTCCGAGTGTAGGGTTTTGCTGCTCTACGTAAAACGGTCTGGTGCACATCCCTCTCCCACGTCGGATCTCCAGCGCATCTCAGATTGTGCTTGTCACATCATCCACAGGTGACTCCCCTTTCCCCTCCCGGCCCCGAAGCTCCTGTAACATGAGCCAGGGGCTGACCAGGAGGTGCAGCCGCTGCCCCACGCCGCCGATGGGCACAGACAGAGGGAAGTGGTGCTTCCGTATAAAACATTCCAGGTGCCAGGAGGCAGTGTGAGACGGAGGGATAGCTGGAGCTGCTGCTTAAAATAAGGTGACCAAGCCCTAACTGGTTTGGCTCAGTGGATAGAGCGTCGGCATGCGGACTGAAGGGTCCCAGGTTCGATTCTGGTCAAGGGCACGTGCCTTGGTTGCGGGCACATCCCCAGTAGGCAGCTGATTAATGTTTCTCTCTCTCATCGATGTTTCTATCTATCTATTCCTCTCCTTTCTTCTCTGTAAAACTCAGTAAAAAAAAAAAAAAAAAAAAAAAAAAAAAAATATATATATATATATATATATATATATATATATATATATATATATATATATATATATAAATAAGGTGAGCAGACGTCCTGCTTTTGGCGGGACAGTCTCGATTTTTAACAGTTTGTCCCGCGTCCCGCAGGGTTTTTTAAAAAAAAAAGTCCCGAAAGACTATTTCCAAAAATCGGGACTTTTTCAAAACGCCGCAGGATGCAGGACAAATGGTTAAAAATCGGGACTGTCCCGCCAAAAGTGGGACGTCTGGCCACCTTAGCTTAAAAGGGAGCTCTGGTGGCGGCACATGGCTGTTGTCTGGGCAGGAGTGCTCTCTGCCCCTCCTCTTCGACCCCAGCTCCACTGAGGAGTACGTTCCTGAGCAATAGCAGGTGTTTACTGAGCTCTAACCCAGTGCCAGGTGCCGGCCTGGGTGCTGGGCGGGGCTCCTGCTTCGGGCCGGAAACTCGGGCCCCTGTCCCGTGGTCCTCAGGGGAGGAGCGGCTGAGCCTCCTGGGGTAAGCCAGGGAGGTCAGTGGTGAGGGGCAGAGGTGCCCGGGCCACTGGGCGGACACGCAGGAGGGCTCCCAGTTCAGCCCATGGGGCTAGGGTGGGCGCTGGACCTAAAGCCAGCTGCAAAAAGCTTCCCGCCAGCCACCCCCTGGATTGTCCTGGGTCCGTGGTCGGCAAACGGTGGCTTGTGAGCCACATGCGGCTCTTTGGCTCCTTGAGTGTGGCTCTTCCACAAAATACCACGGCCTGGGCGAGTCTAATTTGAAGAAATGGGCATTATTAAGGGGACCAGATCGTCCCGCTTTTGGCGGGACAGTCCTGATTTCTAACAATTTTCCCCGCATCCCACAGAGTTTTTAAAAAAAGTCCCGATTTTTGGAAAGAATCTTTCCAATCATCTTTCCAAAAATCGGGACTTTTTATAAAAGCTCTGGGGGACGTGGGAAAAATTGTTAGAAATCAGGACTGTCCCGCCAAAAGCGGGACGATCTGGTCACCTTACCTTAGAAGAAGTTTAAGTTTCAAAAATGTGGCTCTCCAAAGACATTTCAATCATTGTCCTGTTGCTATTTGGCTCCGTGGACGAATGGAGTTTGCCGACCACTGTCCTGGGCGGATCTGATGGCTTCCGGCCAACCCCACAGCAGCTTGATTGATTCATGCATTTCCCCGGAGCAATAGCTGAAGCGAGGGGAGGAAGTCTCTCTGGGGGAAAGCGACTCGGTCCCTGGCTGTGAGTCAGTGTCCCCGTGGCGCGGCTGCCCTCCTGGTGCCCTGTGGCACGGGCTCCGGGCCAGGCCAGACTGAGTGTCTCCTGCTGGACGTCTCCCTGCAGTCAATTCTCCGCACGTCGCAGGCTGGCCCTCCTGGCAGAGACGGCTGACTGCTCTGAGGGAGACCTCACTTTTCCTG